TTTCGTTGATATTTTGGACTGTTTTTCTAACATCTATTTCATTTATTTCTGACTTAACTTTTATTATTTCCTGTCTTCTGCTGGCTTTTGGGGTATTTTGTTGTTCTTTTTCCAATTCTTTAAGGTGGGACATTACGTTGATTCTTTGAGTTATTTCTTGTTTCTTTATATGAGCATGTATTGCTATATATTTTCCTCTTATAACTGCTTTTAATGTGTCCCATATGTTTTGGTGACTTGTGTCATCATTGTCGATCTTCTCCAGGTATTTTTTAATTTTTTCTTTGTTCTCCTCATTAATCCAGTGGTCCTCCAGTCGTGTGGGTTTCAGTCTCCACATGGTAGGTGTGTTTCTTTTCATCCTCATATGGTTTATTTCTAGTTTGATTCCTTCATGGTCAGAGAAAATAGTTGGTATGATTTCGATCTTAATGATTCTAATGATATTTATCTTGTGACCCAGTATGTGGTCAATCCTAGAGAATGATCCATGCGTGTTTGAGAAAAATGTGTACTCAGATATTTTGGGGCACAGTATTCTATAAATGCCTGTTAGACCCATGTTGTCCAGGTCCTTGTTCAGAGCTTTGTGTCTTTGCTTATTTTTTTGTCTTGTTGATCTGTCCAATGTTGTGAGTGGCATGTTGAAGTCTCCTACTATGTATGTATTTTCTCTGATATACGTTTTCATAGATGACAGTAGTTTGCTAATATATTTTGGTGCTCCTTCGTTTGGTGCATATATGGTGATGATTGCTATGTCTTCTTGTTGTATTGTCCCCTTACTCATAATGTAGTGGCCTTCTGTGTCTCTTTTAACTTTTTTAGTTTGAAGTCTATTTTATCTGTTATAAATATAGCCATTCCTGCCTTCTTTTCTGGTCCATTTGCTTGTAGAATTATTTTTCTATCCTTTTATTTTCAATCTGGCTTTATCTTTTGCAGTTAGATGTGTTTCCTCCAGACAGGAGAACGTTGGGTTCTGTGTTTTAATCCACCCTTCAACTCTGTGTTTTTTTATTGACGAGTTTAAGCCATTTGTATTTAGAGATACTATTGTCATACTGGCACCTACATTTGCCATGTTTATCCTTTTGTATTTTTATTGCTTGTTTTTAACTCTTCTTGTTCATTTTTCTGTTGGATTTGGTTTGAGGGCTTCTTGTAGTATTTTTTGGAGTGGGGGTTTAGTCATGACAAAATTGTGGAGTTTCTGTTTGTTTAAAAATGTCCTTATTCTTTCTTTGTAGAGGAAGGAGAGCTTTGCAGGATAGAGTATTCTTGGTTGGCATTTAATGCTTTGGAGTTTGTTGAATATGTCCCTCCACTCTCTTCTTGCCTGTAGTGTTTCTTTGGAGAAGTCTGATGTCAGCCTAATCGGTTTCCCTTTATAGGTTATTTGTTTCTTACCTTTGTCATTCTCATTATCGTTACCTTGTCTTGCATTCTTGGTAGTTTTATTATGATGTGTCTTGCTGTATTTCTCCTGTCGTCATGGTAGTCACAGTGTTCTTCTTGCTTCTTGGATAACTACTTTCATCTCCTTCTTCATATTAGGGAAGTTCTCTTCTGTTATCTCTGTGAATATTTTCTCTATTCCTTGGCCTTTCTCTTCACCTTCTGGGATACCTCTAACTCTGATATTTCCATTCCTAATGGTGTCAGATATTTCCATTCCTAATGGTGTCAGATAGCTCTTGAAGTGTTTCTTCATTCCTTTTCTTTTTTTTTCTCTTTCTTTTTCAGTTTTAATCCTCTTTATTTCTGCATCTTCAAAGGAGCTGATTCGTTCTTCCATTTCATCTATTGTGTTTTCATTACTTTTCCCAGCATTCTTTATCTCTTCCAGTGTCCTTTTCATGTCCTCCACTTCTTCTATTTCTTTTTAATGTATCATTTTCTTTCTTCAGCTTATCTCATTTCATTGTTTTTTTGTTTGTTTTCATTTCTTTCATTCACTTTCTTGTTCGCATTCTTCAACTCCTGATGGCTTGCCTCATATCATTTTTACCCTTCTCTTCTTTTTTTTGTTTGTTTATCCTGATGATTTTGAATTCTCTGTCTGGTAGGCTGAGCAGTTCTTCCATTTCTTTGGTGATTTCTGGTGACTGATCTTTTTGTGGTGAATTTTCCCCCTGTGGACTTCCTTGAATATTTGTTTGTCTTCTTTTCCCTGTTGTGTATTTTCTAATACTTTCTATTGAGAAAGTTGAGACACGGTGTTGTTATTACTTGCATTTTTTTCTGGATGTTCTTTCTGGGATGCAGAGGTACTTCCAGACACATCAGTTGTGGAGGGTAGTCTGAATCTTGTTTTGTTTCAATATCTCCTGTTTTTCCAGCCTCCACTTGTGGAATTTGTCATCTCTGCCAGTGACAGTCAGGGGTCTCTTGTCGTGTTCAGCTTCTTCCAGTAACACATTGAGTCCTTTTCTCTGGAAGGTGCCTGTTGATCTTTGCAGCCTTCTGATGTCCCGTGTTCCCTCTGTTTGGATACAGCCATGGGGGAGAGCTCATTAGAAGTGTTGCAGCTGGGCCTGAATGCGCAGGAAGTGTCCGTCTGCAGCATTAGAGCCCAGGTGCTCCCCACTTTGGGAGATTTTTTGACATGTAGGTTTCCAGGTCCTATTGCCTGTTTCTGGCATTCAGCTTGGCTGACTGAAAATGCCGAGTCACATGGTCTAGAGTGCCTTTTCCTGAGTGAGAGAGCAAGAGACGCAATCAGCATCAACTTCTTAATTAGGAAAACAGATAACTTTTCTCATTGATCAGCTTTGCAGCAAAGACTTCCTGAAGCTACGTGTGCTCTTATTTCAGTATTTGGTAAATGTGAACTATGATTAGGGACAAATTCTTTCCTCAGGTAAAGCCCTTAAGCATAGAGATTATTCTTAATTTTATGCAACTTTTATTATGGACTGTTTCAAATATACACAAACATAAAGGATAGCAACCATGCTGCAACAATTAACAACATTTGGCCAAACTTGTTTCTTCCAACCCCTCAAATACTTTTCCCCCCTCCAAATTATTTTTAAGCAAATCATAAATATTATATCTTTTGCTCCAAAAATATTTTGCACTACCTGAAAGGATTCACACACAAGGATAGAATCAGGTGACATGTAGAATGCCATTCGCACAATGAGATGAGGGTGAGTTTTTGTTTCCAGAGCTGTGTGTTTTTGAACAATTTACTTAACCTCTCTGAACCTTAATTTTCTTTCTGTAAGAGGAAGGGTGAAAGAGGCTGTGAGAACAGCAGAGCTCACGGACAGCACTAGGCCCAGCAGACAACTTTCACTTTCCCTTTCCTCCTGTTCCCTCTGGCATTGATGGGCAGGCCCACATCTTCACGCTGGTCCTCACCCCTCCCTGCAGCTAGACACAGAATGAGGGAGAGGAGTTAAGGAGACTATTCTGTCTGGTGGTTCCATGGAAACCTTCTGAGCACCTGCCACTGCATCTAGACATCCTGTCTGGGACACCCTGAAATGGGCAGGGTGCCCTGCTTTGGGGGGCCTTTCAGTAGATCACTCAGCAGCCTTGGCTCAGAGGGCCAATCTCAAGACTGAGGGAGGCTGGGGAAGCCCAGAAGGTAGCAGCCCCAGCAAGGGAGACAGGATAGGGAGAGAGCCAGGCTCCAACCTTACGCATCAGGCCAGCTGCTGAGGAGCCTGGCGTGCCGAGAACAGGATGACTTTGCTTTCCTGCTCACTCACTCCACAGCCTGCTGGGCTGACCAAGCTGCATACTAAGGCATAGGTTAGTAGAAAGCTGCCATGAGATGGTGAACAAGCTGGCAGTAGGTGCACAGCTCTGGGAGCACATGACTCCCTGCCTTTGTAGGGGGTGCTGAGCCCACTGCATATCATCCCTGGGCTGATTCAGGTGACAGTTTTTGAGAACTTCAGAGAACAGGGACACTCACCTGTGCAATCCCGCAGGTTGTAACCATGAAGTGTCCAGTTGGAGAACTTGGAAAACCCCAGAAAACTTCAACCACCTCCACTAGCCAGCTTTATACTTGAACCAAGCTCTGGACACATAGCAGGTGGCTCTGGAAAGGGAGCTAGAAGGTGGGTGGCCACACCATGTCCAGGCAAGCGGGAGGCCAGCACTGGGGGAGTGGTACACATGGGCAGCATCGGTGCTATGTGACGTTGGCCCTGACAGTGGCAAGGGTCTTCCCTCCCCACCCCTGTTCAGTGACCATTCACTGGGTCTGCCCAAATATGCTGAGATCTCTAGCCACAAGGGTGTAGGAATCAGTGAGGAAATGAGGGAACTCAAACGAAAAGGCAAGTATTGTCCTCACCATCATGGGTGTGCAGAAGATTCAGGGATGAGTCAACTGTAAAGTGGAAAAATTCCAAGTGAATGAACACTCAGGGAATGATGATTATTTGGAGTAGATATTGATTCAGTAGAAACAACTCCTTCTAAATCATCTGCATATTTTTTAAAAAATAGGGGAAACGTGCAGCTCTAGCAAATGGCAGGTGCAGCCTCACTTGGCACCTCAGTCTACCCTGTGGAAGCTGCCCAGAGCAGGAGGGGCCATGATGCTCCAATCACACATGTGGGCACATGCAGGCATTGCCCCTCGCTGGGTGAGGCCCGCAAAGCATGGCCTGTGCCATCTCCATGCAGTTGGCGCCCATTGAGAGGAGATGGGTAATCCCTCTGACTGCGGCTTGGACAAGGGGAGACATGGGATGCTGAGAGCCAGAGGATGACAACACATCAGGAGGGAGAAGGCTGCAGGAGCCTACTGAGGGGAGGGATACAGTGGAGGAGTGAATGAGGAGTAGTAGGCATGACCTGTGTCCGGAGCAGAGAAGGGAAGCAAGGGCCACGTGGAGTCTACCCAGCATGGCCAGAGCTGGGCTTGGCCCCAAAGCCACTTGCGGCCTTTGACTTTGTAAAAACATGGAGGCATTTTAGGAAGGATATAGAGTGGCCAGGTGTGCATTTTGGACAGGCAATCCTGGCTGCAGAGTGGAGTGGAAGAAAGCTGGCATGGAGGCAAGAGGTCCACTGTAGAGGCCACTGCAGCCACAGGAGAGCCCAACACAGCCTCAGCCGTGGAGACCATGGTGGGAAACAAATTGGAAATGGAATTGAGAGAGAGGGTAGGTTGAGGATAGCTTGATCTGTGTTGTTTGCTGAGACAGGTAACAGGCAAAGGCAGCAGCTCTGGGCTAGGGAAGCAGGACTTCTGCTTGCTCTTGCTGGGTCGAGGCAGCCCCTTGAGAGGTCAGAGAGAGAAACCATGTGTGTAAATTGCATTTTGTCCTCATGTGAACATTATACCTTGGACATGAATCAGCACATCCAGGATCAAAGTAAAAGGAAGAGGGGAGTGGGGGACAGGCCCATCAAGGTGCAGATAGACAGCCCAAGGTGGAAGGGCCCCAAAGCCAAGATGAGGTAGCCAAGGCAAGTGCAGCCTGAGAATGGCCCTGACACTCAGGAGATCTTGGAGGGAGCTGACCTGATGCTGACAGAAGGGGAACTGAATAGAGGTGTGGTGGGGTGAATGGGGGGTGGGGTTTGGGGATGCCATGGCCATTGTAGCTATAATGAGATGACTGACTGGATAAAGGAGAGATAGTGGGGACCAGTGAAAGTGTTGGGGGATCAAAGCAGATGTCACCAGGGCTGGCCATGGCTAGACCAAACTCACCATCTTCCTGGCACTCAAATAAGGCCTCCGAGCAGCCTGCTGCCCACACTTTGGGACACAGCAGAGCTGAGAGGGGCTTTGCTTGTATGGGTGACAGAAGGAAAAGTCAGCCTCAGTTACCCACACAGTGCCCAGCTAACCAGTACCCACACAGTGCCCAGCTAACCAGGGGGTACCTTCTGGGTCTGCACCCAGAGCTCTAGGATTTAGCGTTTGCTAAATCTGATGCTGATGGGGGGTGGGGGGGGCGCAGTCCTATCCCTTTGTCCTGAGGCCTCCACCACAGCTGCTGGTGATCACTTCACAAAGAAGTGTTTCCATCAGGGGCCAGGCAGATGCCATCTCTGTCACCAGAGCTCTGGGAACTAACAATGCTGGACCTCAGAGTTCCCCGTGAGCCCTACCAGAGACAGCGAGAAATTTCTGAGGCCCCAGGGACACTCAGCCCAGCAACCCAGCAACCTAATGCCTGCCAAATGCCATTAGGTTTGCATATTTCAGGAAAGCATGGAGCAAGTGCACTTTTGCTGTATGAATTACCAGGTATCACTGAATGTTCACTGTTATGCTCGAACCCTATAGAGCCAGATCCTGTCTGCCGGGAGCCTTGTGTTTGCCAGAAGACAAGGCCCTGGTGCCCATCACCTGTCCCAGGCCCACTTCTTGGCCCCTGGGGACCTACGTCCACCCCTGGAGGCCATTTACATCATTCTGTGTTACTAACCAAACCTGGAAAAGTGTAGACATCTCCCTTGATAAACCCAGTCAGTCCAATAGAGGCCTCTGTGGGTGGGAGCCTGTGTACTCCCTAAGAGTGAGAGTACCCACTTTCATTCCTGAGCCCAGCCCAAGACCAAACAGCAAGACCCCATTATCTGAGCTAAATGGTAAGCCTTTTGTCAGCACATGGTGGTTATGAAACACTCATCACGTGCCCAGAGCTAGGCCTGGAGGCAGGAGGGTCCCCCATGAAAGCCAAGCAAAAAATGGGCCACCTGCAGGCAGGGCCCATTCCAGCTTTCTCCTCTTTCCTTTCTGCAACAAGCCTCAACACCCACCCCCGCCCCCGCCCCACTGCCAGACAGCTGAGGTGGGAACTCTTCCCATTCCCACTATAGTTTTGTCACCTTCTCCCCTACTGACCTCAACTGCAGCTCCAACCACAGCCCGCCCTGGACCGGGTGCTGCTTCAGAGGTGGGGTCACATGCAGGCACACTTGGGGACAGTCATCACTGCACCTGAGGTGTTAGAGATGCAGAGATAGGTGTTTAGGTCTGAGCTCCCCTTTCCTCACCACCCTCCAGGCATACCGAAAGAGGATGCACCAGCTCTTGCAGGCTCTGCACCAGAAGCTGGCGACTCTGGGCCAGGGCTCAGAATGCCTGCTGGGAGCTGACAAGCCCATTGCCTACAGGACCAAGCCGCCGGCCTCCATCCATAGGGAGCTCCTAGTCATCTGCAGTGACCCCTACACACTGGCTCAGCAGCTGACCCACGTGGAGCTGGTAAGCAGGCCCATGCCACCCCCTACCCAGACTCAGAACCAGGACAACTGAGAACAGCTGTTCACCCATCTGGCCCTCTGGGCTTGTCTCAGCACATACCCAAGTCCTAGCCTGTTATAGCAGAGGCAGCTGGCCATCTCCGGAGGACCCTGGTTCGAAGCAGACCCTCACCAGTCCTGGGGCTGGATGTGCCAGCCTGCCCAGCTGGGGACCCTGGCCAACTAGAGAGTCCCGGCCTGAGACAGAGGAGCTGGGTTCAGTCTTGACTCTGACACCATCTGGTCATGTGGTCCTTCCACCACACATACCTTCCCCACCTGGGCCTCAGTTTCTTCATCTAGGCTATATACGTACATTATTCTCACCCAGTTTTCTCAAGATGCCCAGGCAGGCCTTTCTGCTTGTGAAAGGGGCGCCCCACCCAGCCTCCAGCATATAATGTCAAGAGACCTACTTTAGAGAGAGGGGAGACCGGAAATGAGTTTCTTTCCTTTTAAGGTTTAGGGTGCCCTTACTGCTTTCCAGGCACCATACTCCACACTTAAGTGCACTACCTCATTTCATCTTTCTGTCACCCTACTGACTAGATGCTATTAATCTCTTTTCTACCAAAGAGGAAACTAAGGCCCAGAGAGGTTAAGTGATTTGGTGGAAGTCACACAGCAGGAGGGACAGAGCTGGGATTCAGACCACTTGCTCTTACTCACCAGGCTTACCTGGAGTGGGTGAGGTATTTCAAGTCTCTGATTTTAGAACCTGGTTTCCTAGGTAAAACACATCACAAACACCATGTGGGGGACATGTCCGCTTACACCCCATGAAGTGCAGCAGCCCCTGGGTGTGGGAAAGGAGAAAGGAGATTCTGCTTCCTTCAGGGATGATTGTGCCCAAGGCAACTCAACAGAAGGGGTGGGTTAGGAGGCAGACAACCTCACTGGGTGCATCAAGTGGACCACCAGTGGGCACCCCTCCCTTCACCTGTCTTCTTTTCCTGATTATTCTCCCTCCTGGTGCAGGAGCGGCTGCGGAACATTGGGCCTGAGGAGTTTGTCCAGGCTTTTGTGAACAAGGACCCTCTGGCCAGCACAAAGGTAGAAGGCCCTCGAGCGGGCGGTTCCAGCATGACCCCTACCCACTGGAACCTCTGGCAGATCCCACAAGCATCGCTTGGGGAGCTTTGGAGGGTTCCACACCTGCGATGGACTTGGAGCCGCTGTGCCACTTCACCCTTGCGCCTCCAGCTCACAGGCAGGCGGAGCGAGTCAGACCAGGACGGCCCTGAGTCCGGGAAGCCTAGAAGGGTGGGCAGGCCTGGCCAGTCACCCGCCCAGCAAGGGCAGTATGGCAGGCCGGAACCGAGGAAGGTGGAGGACGCAGCCCCCCCATCCCCCACCCTTACCCCTCTTTACCCCCTCCCCCTCACACCCCCCCCCCCAGCTCAGGGACCCCGGTGTGCCCTCCTGGTGTATTTCGGTGGGCACTGGTGCCCTCCAGTGGCCACTCAAGGAAGCGCGGGCTGGCGCGGGCTGCCCAGGAAAGGTGAAGGCTTTGCTCCCTTCTGTGGCCCTGGAGCCAAGCTCTATGGGCCGCCCACACCCTGGATTTCAGGGCCAGTCCCTCTCTCAGGGCCCAATCGTCGGGATTCCTGGCGCTTAACAGCGGGTTCGGATACCGTCTAGACCTGGAAACACTATGTCTTCCGCCCCAAAGACTAACAAAAGAAGTGAAAATTGTATATTCAAATGTGTTTTCACCTGTCAGATAAGCAGATTGAACATCATGAGAGTGTTGGGCCTGTAGAGAATGAAATTGGCACGGCCCCTTTGGAGAGCAGCTTGACAAATAGCATCAGCACTTTAAATATACACCCGGAACCGAGCGTTCTACACCTAGTGATTTATTCTCCAGGTAGACATACTGTATGTACAAAGATATGTGGATACAGTGTTTATTATGACCACAGGCTGAAAGCAAACTACCTTGTCATCCAAGGGGACTGGGTTGAAAATCTAATGACCACATATGTGCCTATTAAGAATAAGAACAATTGTAAATATGAGATAACACCCAAGATCCGTTATGGAAAGAAGAGAGTAGAGTGAGGAGCAGTGACGAGATCGTGTGCCCATTTGAGTAGCAAAGGAGGATGCACCTCGTGCCTATGTCAGCTTGCACATGCGTGGAGGCAATTCCAGAATACCGGTTACTCGGGGGAGCCCAGTGGGCAGCTTTGGGCAAGAGTGGGAAGGAGTCGCTACTGTTAACAGGCCGTTTTCCTACTTTTAGCAGGCCGTTTTCCTGTTTCAGTCTGGTTGGCTCTTGTCCATTTCCAAGTACAGTTGATCCTTAAACAATATAATAGGTTAGGGTCGCTGACCCGGTGCAGTGAAAAATACATGTATAAATTTGACACCCCTAAAACTTAACTACTAATTCCCTGCTATTGGTTGGAAGTCTTATTCAAAACATAAACAGTCAGTTAACACCTATTTTGTATGTTATTATATACTATTGTTTTACAATAACATAAGCAGAAAGGAGAAAATGTTCTTAAGAAAATCTTAAGAGGAAATATATTTACAGTATTATTTTATATATGGATATCATAGTTTGCACTGTTCACAAGAAAATCTGCATCTTAGTGGACCAATATAACTTCAAACCTACATTGTTCAAGAGTCAACTGTATTACTTTTTCACCATGAAGTACATCAGGACTGCATGTGACGTTTCTTTAACCACTTTACTATTTATAGATGAACATTTGTGTTGTTTCCAGCTCTTCACTATTTTAGATATTGCTGACATGAACACTTTTTTTTTTTACATGAACACTTTTTATAGCTTTCCTAGTGTATGTGGGAGCATATTTTTTCTCAAGTGTTTTGGTCTGAGGACCTTTTCCAATCTTAAAAATCACTGAAGACTCCAGGGACCACCCTGGTGGCTTGAGGCCGAGTCTCCGTGTCATCACCTCTGTGACCTGAGTTTGATTCTCTATCCTATGCCACTGCCCAGGCCCATCAACAGTGTGCAAAGTTTCCCTCTTCTGTACACATCAGTGCAATGCCAACATGGTGAAAAGCCAATAACATGGCAAGAAAATGATATTGCCTGTGGGAAAATGGGACCCTCAAAGAACGCCCAGGGTTCTCAGGAGTCCACAGACAACACTTTGAGAACTGAGCTCTGACTCGCTCAAGGGAGGAAACTAGTGCATCGAGAGGGGCACATGGTCAGCCCTGCCAGGTGATGCCAGCTGCTACCCATTACCTCCTAGGAGGAGGCATTCTTGTTCCACATTCTCACTGACATTTGAAATTGTCAGACTTAAATTTTTGCCGGCCATTAATGGAGTTTCTTTTCATGTGCTTTGGACATGAGCACCCACCCCTGATCTGTGTCCAGTTTTCTATTCATTAGTCATTTTCTTGAGGACTTTAAAGAGTTTTCTGAGTGTATTCTTTAAAGTGCATGCTAGCTAAGCATCCTGTATGGTAGTATTCACTGTGTTACCCACTAAATTTCACCTGGGAGTATATAGAAGGACTAGAACAGTACCCATCAAGTCATTGGTATTTCTGGGTGATGTTTAAGGTTTCAACATTTTTCTGTTCATCTGTAATGACTTCATGTTCAAAAAGTTACTGACATAAAAAGACTCAGAATGTGGTGCTTGTGTTTTTCCTAGCCTTGTTTCAGCAACAAGACTAACAACCTAGAGGCTTATGTGAAATGGTTCAACAGATTGTGTTACCTCGTGGCAACTGAGATCTGCATGGTGCGTAGAACACTAAGGAGCATGGGCTGGCAAGGCCAAAGGCCAGTGAGAGGGAGGAAGCCCCCCGGGAGGAAACCAGCTGGTATTTTGAGCCCATCCAGCCCCAAGCCAGGCCAGGCTGGACACCCACAGGGTACCAAGTGTCCTCCAGCTGTCCTGCTGTGACATTCCCCCTGAGTGAGCCAGGGATGGCTCCACACCACTCACAGAGGTGTCAGAGGCTGCTTGCTGAAGGAGCAGACCCTCCACCTGGGTCTGTCTGCCTTATGAGGCTGGCCTGCATTTTGTTTGGTTCACTGATCTAACTTTTAACAAGTGGGAGATTGCACATACCTAGTAAACATGATCTAACTTTTAACAAGTGGGAGATTGCACATACCTAGTTTAGGTCTCTGACTTCTCCCAGAAAGCAGGCAGACCCCAGAAGAGAGTGTCTCTGAGTTGGGGTCTCACAAACTAGACCCTGTCTGCACACTTTTCTTCCCTGCAGCAGAGGGGCCCTCCTCTGAACCCACCTCCCACCATCAAGTGAGCCCAAAGCCCACTTGTCTCAAGAAATGATAAGGGGCAGCTTTGTGCCAGTATCTGGGAGCAGTTGTTGAGATAACACTGGGGGCCCAAAGTCCTTATGAAGGATCAACACCTGTATAATGAACAGGGATGAAGCAGGACTGTCCAGAAGGAGAAGCTGATCTAAGGTTCTT